GGGCAAGCAATGTCATGTCATCTACATGCACAGCTATAATTATGGGGCCTGATTTCGCTTGTCTGATGTATACACATTGATCACTGATCAATCTCGTGTATCCAAGTCCCAAAAATGTAGCGTTTAATTTTTCGTTCCAAACTCGGCCAGATTGCTTGAGTCCATACAATGTCAATTTGAGGTGTGCCACTTTGCCGCTTCCATCAGAATATTCTGGCGGTTGAGCCATGTAAATGGATTCATTGAGCTTTCCATTTAAGTAAGCTCCGACGACATCCATTCCATGTATAATCAAGTTTCTTTGTGCGGCAATGGCCATAAGTAGGCGGAATGTGTCCAGCCTGACAACGGGTGCATATGTCTCGAAGAAATCAATGCCGGGAACCTGCGAAAATCCTTTCGCAACGAGTCTGGCCTTGTATCTGGTGATTTTCCCATCACCATCCCTTTTTAATCTATAAGTCCACTTGCAATTTACAAGTGATCTGTCCTGGGGTAATTCCTCTAACTGCCATGTACCCAGAGAAGTCAATAGATTATATTCTTCATCCATTGCTTTCTTCCAATGATGCCAATCTGGCCTTGTTTTAGCTTCTTCAAGGCTTAATGGCTCATCACTGAGGTTATCTGCAGTCTCCCCCAGACATGCATAGTCTGCTGCTATATTTGCAGTTTCCAAAGGTTCCTGTGTCATTTCACGCTGCAATTCCGGCAGTTTCGTGCCTCTTGCAGCTGGATTATGGAGCAACCGGTAACTTGGTTGATTGATTGATGAGATCCGGACCGATTTGGTACGTGGCTCGATCACCTTCCCACGCCAAATGGGAAGCTTTGATTTGGTTGCCGGGGCATCAAGGGGCATTTCCCCTTTTGATTCGGCAATTTCGGCAGCCGCGGAATCATCGGAAATGTCATCATTTCCACCTGGAGTCTGCTCGACATTGTTCCCTGACTCCCCCTCGAGCAACGAAGGGTGGGATACAATATAGTCATTGTCTGTAGGCTCTTTAGTGTTGTCATCAAGGAATATAACATTTCTTGAGGTCTGAATCTGTCTGGTCTGAGAATTATAATATCTCCAGGCCCTAGATTCATCTGTAAGACCTGTAAAAATGAATTCCCTTGATTTCGGGTCGAGTTTTGACCTTTTGTTATCTTGCTGCAACACCCAGCACTTTGCTCCGAACTCCTGGAGTGTTGAAATGTCCGGTTTCATGCCCCAAAACACTTCTTCGGGGGTTAGATCATTTTTGATGGCCTTAGTCGGTGATCGGTTCTTCAGGTACGTGGCATATGCCACGGCCTCGGGCCATAGGAATTTCGGCAAGTGATGTTCTTCTAGCATGGCACGCGCATGCTCCACGAGGGTCCGATTGACTCTCTCCGCAATTCCGTTTTGGGGTGGAGAATATGTGGCAGTCAGTTCCAACTGAATGCCATTGCCATGGAGGTATTCCTTCACCACCTCATTAATGTATTCCTTCCCATTATCAATCCTCATAAACTTCAGGTCCTCCCCTTTGTGGACTTTGATGTATTTCTGGTACTGCTGGATTTTCTTTTGGATCTCTGTACCTTCTTTTGACTTGAGAAAATACAATATTGTCCTCCGGGATTTGCCATCTGTGAAGCTTATGTAATATCTTTCTCCATGGATACCGTGAGTTCGGGCTGGCCCCCATAGGTCCGAAAATGTCATTTCACCTATTCTTGTGTATTCCCTTTGAGCTTCTTGCGGAAATGGCTCAACATGGTGCTTGGCCTTTATGCAGGCTTTGCAATCCTTCTGGGGGTCAGCTGACTCATCCACATCCATACCCTTGACCATCTTCTTTCTGAATAATCTCTTTACCGATCCTATATTTAAGTGGCCCATCACTCGGTGCCACTTCTGCCACGATCGGGCCGGTTTAATTGCATGGGCTTGAGTTATTTCTGGCGCAATGATGTCAAGGCTATACAGCTTCGAAATCTTATCTCCATGACCAATTGTCTTGTCACGCGGTGAGATAATATCCATCCGAGATCCTTTGAATTTGAGTTCAAACCCGGCATCCGTGATGCGCCCTAGCGAAATAAGATTGAATGGTGCCTCGGGACAGTGAATACAATCCTTCAGTGTAACTGAAGTAGTCTTGTCCCCTTCAACCATTTTAATCTTTACTGTTCCTCTTCCCAAGCCTTTTGACTTTCCTACACCAATAACTTCATGTCCTGGGGTCTCAACATAGTCAGAAAAATGCAATCTGTTCTTGACTATATGTTTAGTTGTTCCTGAGTCCCCCAGCCATGATGACCCTGCAAGCATAACAAGTGCAGTGTCTGTAGTGCAAAACGCGTAATCTTCTTCATCTGAATCCGATTTGGCAACATGTGCCTGGGTCTGGCCCTTCCCTTTCCCCTTCCATGACTTTCCAGAATTCTTCTTTCCATTTGGGCAGTTTGCCCTGATGTGCCCGGCTTCTCCACATCCGTAACATGTGATTTTTGAGTTAGACTTCTTGCCATGTGCTGCAAGTGTTGTGGTCGGATCAGAAGTCTTTTCTCGTAATCGGATGTCTTCCTGGAGAATTCGGGAGATCAATTTGTAGGAATCTTTCAAATCAGCAGTGTCCACTGATGAAATGAATGAATTCCATGATTCCGGGAGTGATGTAAGCAGTGTAATAGAGAAGTCCTCTTCCTCAACTTTCTGCTTGAGGGATGCCAGCTCCTCTTGATAGGACCTCATAGTCCTAATATGTTCCTCTATGTTTCCCCCTTCTTCACACTGAGCTCTAAAGAATCTCCTTCTAACAAGGACAATTCCCATGGGTCCCCTGGACTCATACATGTCTTTTAGAGCATTCCATGCTTCTTCCGAAGTCTTCGAACCAGCAATATACACCAGCGGGCCATCTGAAACCCGCAACCTTATTGTCGAAAGAGCCTTCCTATCGCTCTTCTTCCAATCTGCCACCAGTGCCGCTTCTGCCGGGGCCGGAGTGCTTCCGTCTGCATAATCAATTAGACCTAAATCGGTTAGGATGTCGATCATCTTGATCTTCCACGTCGGGTAATTTTCCGGGCCCTTAAGGGGGTCAATTCTGTAAACGGACTGGCTTTCCATGTGGTTCTGTATGTGTACGTAATGTACAAAAGTGCGAAGTGGGTAACAGTGTAAGTAGTTCAGTTAGGGCCGGGGCCCATAACCTGTTGGGAGTACAGAGGAGAATGTAAGAGAGAGAGAATTAATTAGCCTCTCGAGGGAGAGGCATTGTACTTAAATACAAGTTGTACTACTTCTAGAATTTACTACGGATTACTATATGTGCCTACTATTGCGGTTAAATGTTCATGCCGCTTAGTCATGCCGAAGCTTCGAGTGCATTCTAGCACTAACTCGGGATTGCTATCCCAACAAACTTCAAGTTACTAAAATGCATAATCTTCTTCATCATCTTCATCAGCTACATTTGCTCTTGTTGGATCTTCTCCCCCTTGAGCAATATTTGGGCACTTGTTTCTGTAGTGGCCTTTCTGCCCACAACCGTAGCAAATGATATTAGCCGGATCGAGAGGTTGGCCCTTGATTGATTGCGCGGCTAACGCCATTTCAAATTCTGGTGAATTTAGTTTCCGGCGGCGCTCTTCATTTAGCAATCGATGAGTGACATAATCGAAGTCTGGACCTCGCGTCGGATCGCTGGGATCAGTATTGGCCTCGATGTAAGATTCGATGGCGGTAATGATGTTCTCATAGGTAGGGGGTAAGGATGCCAATAGAATAGTCATCCTAAGTATGTCTACCAATGTAATTCCAATATCCTTGAGGGACTGGTCAAGTTCATTGAAATTATTGATGTGCTCCTGCATAGGTGCTCCCTCTTCCATTCTGAGAGAAACAAAACTATGAAGAACGGTCATACGATTGGCCCATCCTGAGGATTCATAATATTCCTTCAGAATTTGCCACATTCGGGCAGGGTCCGTGGTCTTCCAGGTTAGCGGTAACACAGAATCAGACACATGCAGAATGATCTCGGCAGTGGCAAGCCTCGCGCGCTTGTCCCAGACAGTCTGTGTCCTTGTTCCACTTGCGGGGCGGGGTTCTGTACCTGAAACTATTCCCCACAAATCCTTCCGAATTAAGTGCATTTCCATGTGGTACTTCCATGTGAAGTAATTCTCCTCACTAAGGAGATCAAATCGGGTGCTACTCCGGTCTTCCATAACTGGAGATATCGAAGTGGTATGTAATGAGAGTATGTAATGTGCCTGAAAAGGTGAGTATACGGTGCCTAAAAAGGACTTTGGGAACAGGGTGCTAACCTAGAAAGGGTTTACAGCGACTAATACAATGATTTCACCTATGTAGAAACGATTTACGGTGGCGTAGAAATGACTTTTAACAACTTCGTCTACCTAGAGAGGATTTACGATGGCCTAGAAAGGACTTCGAGCACCAACCTAGAGAGGAATTACAGTGGCCTAGAGAGGACTTTTAATTACACCTGCCTAAAGAGGACTGATGGTGATTGACATGTGGCTAGAAAGCCGGCTTGGGTGGTCCGAAAGAGAATGTGTGTGGAAGATGAGACTTCTACTGGAGCTCGGGGCCCATAACCTGTTGGCAGTATTGCAGTGGGAGGCTTGCAGTAGGTATAATACTAAATTGTTAGCTACTAGAGCTCCTAATGAGCTCCTTATATACTACGAAATGTATCTAGAATATTCTACCAAAGTAACTAAATATATCTAAGTATCGTGACAAATGAGTAAGCCGAAGCTTCGGGAATCTTCTGGCATAAGCTTGAAGTTGCAAATCCCAACATTACTATTGTTTACCTGAGCTTGTATTAGCAGAGTCGACCAATTCATACTGTTTTACTGTTTTAGACTTTGATTGCTCCGCCCAGAGTAATGTTCCTTACTGTGCTAAGACCTTTTATGGCTTTACAGACACATTCACTCTCAATGGCGTTACGAAGCAAGGTGGCCCCCTCTCACCTGTCAAATGCATGCTTACCAGCAGTCTCAGGAGTCATTGGCTCAATGATAGCTTTGCCGCCAATGGCGATGGATTGGTTGTTGCAACCACCCAGGCTCTCAAGCGGAAGAGGCATACTCCTTATGATGACATCTGCCTCCCTGTAGCCATGGTGGAGGTGATGGATGACTCAATCATGATTGCAGGTTCTTTCCCTGTTTTCCACTGTTCCACGAGAATGCTGGAGACAGTCCAAAGTGCATATGGCAGTGAAACAAACTGGGACAAATCTGCTGTGTTTCTGCATAATGTACCAAATCCACCTACAGTCATATACCTCCCCTCTGTTGAGCCAGCTAACCCTTCTGTAGTGACCACACATCCTGTCAATGTATATTCCTCTCACATAGAGCTTATGCGGGTCTCAATGAATGACCCCGAACTACAATTTCAAAAACTGACAGATCTTATTTCAGGCTTTCAATTCCCTACTTTACACCTTCATCTGCCGTTTACTGCCTTACAGCACATCCTATCCCAATGCCTCATTGCAAGAATTCGTCCAAGGCTTGCGTTTCACCCAATTTCACAAGACGCGGCCCACCGCCTTGACTGCTTGATTGCCCAGAAGGTTTATGACTATCTCAGATTCCCCTTCCAGTTTAACTCTGCCCTTCTCTCTCTTCCACTCTCAGACTTTGGTTTTGGATTTCCTTCAATATCTCACCTGAATGACATGGCAGCCATTAACGGCCTTTTTCGGGACCTCAATCATCATCTCTCCATGTTCCATAACATGGCATTAATAACTCTTGCTGACTGGACCTGTGCCCTTAACGACTGTCAATTTCCACTTCATGGCAAGTCTTTATCCTCACTCACCTCTCGTCGCCACCCTTGCCTCCCTTTCCCCTGGCTAGTTGCTCAAAGTGCCCTCTCACATCTGAACATATCCATCCATGACACTGACTTATCATATCTCTTCCATGGCGACATATCACTAGTACATCTCAATAAACTTCTCCCTCACACTAAAACTGTCCCTCATCACCATCTGACTAATCTGGCCAACGCCGACATCACAACACTTCGACAGCTCGCATCATTTCCTTCACCTTCATCTCTCTCCATCACCTCACCACCTTGTAATCCCCTAATACCTCTTCAAACTGTCTTATACAATCATACATTCAGTCGCGCTCAAGAATTATCCCAACAAACTACTGAATAGCTTGCCTCAATTACATTGGAAGATATCATGTTGGGTTTTATGGGCTTAGCGGAAGAGAGTAAAAATAACCATACTCAGAAAAGGAAATGAAGGAGAGATGATGATACAGAGGACCGTCTGAGTGTTGGTGGAGTTTTGGAGAACTCCAGTGCAACTGGTTCTGATCTGTCGATGCTCGCACTGCCACACTGCATGAGAAAAGAAATGGCAGAAGAAGTTCTCCATGCGTGCTTGTATACCTCCCCCCATGATTCATTTGCTTCACCATCTCTGCCTGGGTCCTGGGCCACAGATGGCTCCATGATACCAGTGACACCAGGTTTCCAAGAGCCACGTTCAGTCACTTTTTCAGCCATTTCCGGTCAGGGCAGTGTTGCCTTCTCCCTTGATCTCTTCCGAACATCAGCCAACATTGGTCTTGGGGAAACGTATGGACTTGTTGCCACAAACATCTATGGTAGCAATAGCCATCTTCACTCACCACAGAACTCTCATGACATCTACATCGACCATCTCAATAGTGAAAGAATTATTGCGTCCGCTCGGTGCCCGTCTTTTCAACACTATCAATGGTCTTCTTTACCTGGACGCTCCCTCTATCGATGGTTACTGTACAATATCACTCACCCTATCAATAACACCTCCATACCCACAATTAAATATACACCGGCTCACACCGACTCTACCACTCCTCCCTCCCTCCTAAACAACGCCGCTGATCTCCTTGCAACAACATCTCAAAACCTTACGTTACGACCTTTTCCTGCTCCTGTACCTACCTTCTTTATGGATCACTTTGTTATATACAGTGAAACCGACAGCTACATCGAATCCAATGTCTCAAAATATCTGTCCAATGTGCATGCTTCCCTTACCATAATGCAGCCCGACTTCCGACCTGCCTTGACAATGATGATGCCATTATATCGACCATGTGCCCCTCCTGAACACCCTTATATCTGCGCGTCCTCTGCGTTCTCTGCTGTCATTCAGTTATATGCACGATCAAGTCAGCTGGATTGTTGTTACACCAGATTTCTACGTTTCGGTGACATCTCCCCTACGTGCACTTCTGGCTGTCCTGAAATCGAGACCATCCATCATATTTTTGTTACATGCCCTGAGTATGATGCCATTTGTGATGAAGTGGCTCAGCAGTTACACGCTAAGACATCTAAACTTTTACATGTGGCTGATACTCCCTTGTCGCAATGCATTCCTCTTCTCGAGTTGGCTCGAAACCTCTTCAAAGATGGTCCTCACTGGCCACATCACTCTGCACAGTTTTACCTGGGGCTTTTGCCACCCTTTCCCCATGAAATCCTTGACGGGCCGTCCCCTATGACACACTCCCAAACGCACATCAGGATTGCACACACCTAGCATATGGCTGGCATCCGTCTGGCTGGTAGGATATGGGGTATGTATAAAAGGAACGCACACTTTCATGTTTCCTCCAAAAAGGACAGCAGATCTCGCCCAAGTGTAGCCGTACCGGCCTTTCTTACTGATATCTTATGCTTATAACTTGATACTTATGCCTTTATCTTTTCCTAGTTTACTTCTTCTTTTTGTGTTTTCCTTTTATTTGTGTTCAGCAATGAGTCGACAGGGTCTTTGATAGTAATTTGCTATTGTTTACCCGAGCTTGTATATAGCGGAGTCGACCAATACAACAGTCTTACAGTCTTAGAGGCATGGCATTACGAATAGGGAGACATGGGGACCTACCAGATCTAGGACCATATACTGAGCATTCGAACCGAGTGTGTAGGTGATCATTAACGAAAGTACAGAGGCTGAATACACAGCGGCTGACTTGATGACCATCATGAGAGCAGAATGAGCGAGTTTCACTTGAATGACCATCAGCAATCTCACAAATGGTATAGGGCTGTAAAGGGGGTGCATGTTTTCTATAAACATGTTTATAGAGCTATACACTGCTGGATTCATTTTCAGGATGGAAAAAGGTATTCTAAAAATGTTGTGACTTTTCGTTTCCTTTGTATGCTACCAAAACAGGATATGAAAAATGAAATGAAAAATTTGTCCTATTTAGTGCTCTTTTCACATACCGAAAACAGTTTTTTTCTCTGAATGAAAGGTGGTTTCCTTCAAGAGGGTTCCACGATTACTTAAATTGTTTCGGGCTTTTGCTGGACCCTCCCTCCCTATCACATGACTACTAACACGTCATGTATACCATATCAAGTATGCCGAGGCAGCCAGAATCAGACTTAGCCGAAGATTCATCAATAGTCTGCCATCACACCATCAAATAAACTGAAAAATAAACTGTGCCATGAACTCCAATTTGAGATGGCACTCCTCTGGCATATAGTGTAGGAAAGCATAACTAAAATGGATGTGTCAGAAAGTGAAACCTTGCAAGAGATGCCGAAGCAGCTGACTAAGCCCAAAAATTTGAAGTCACCATTTTAGTGCCTACGTATGGATGTCTTGGAGCAATGCTGGACATTGCTACACTCTTGTCAAGCATACTTGAGCCCCTCATCCCCCAGTATACGTACCCAAGACCTAGCCTAGTTTTTCTCACCACACTAACACCCCATTGTCACCCACTCAACACTCTAGTCCTCAAATTTGTACTGAGAAGCCTACCATGGACACCAACAAGGTATATGTATAGCAGATTGTGTAAGTAGGTCTTAGCAGAGAATATGCACAACAATGCCGCTGTCGCTGGGCCTCACCGTCGCGAGTTACAGTGGCTGCCAACGTATCTGAATACAGGCTTCTCGGATTGGATGCCTCTATTCAAGCTCCGCAAAGACCTTGCTGATGGAAATTGCCTTGACGGCCATCACTTCATCAAATAAACTGGAAAATAAACTGAGCCATGAACTCCAATTTGAGAACCCCTAATGGCAGGCTCTTTGGGCTCGTATATTGATGAGGGACCTCCATAATAATCAGGTATTATTTTGTCTTGAATAATGTGTCAATAAATTGTACTGCATGCCTAAATATCAATTGCAGGCCAGCTCCAACCCAGTTCTAACTCCTCTCTACATTTGGAAAGAATCGGGGATAAATTCAGTGCATTCCCGTGATCAGCGAAGCCACATGCTTGCTGAAGGTGATTGGTGCACGAGCCTAGGACTTCGCAACTCCTGTCGCAACTTCATGAGGATCTCCTCTCGGTCGGTTACTCAGACTAGTGCTCTCGCCTAATGGCTCTCTACCGAACCTTGCAGGAGTTGGAACTACTACCTCTGCTATATCCTGATCTGGCTTTGATCAACACTTCTCATCTTTCATGTAGAGGAATGATGCCTATTTCTGAGCACCAGGCAGGAGCGCTCAACCGCCTATCTGATGACCAGAAGGAACAGCAAACATTTACTGCCTCCTTCGATCCCACCATAGTACCTGATCTGCTCTCTGCTCTAGACGAGGATCTTTCTAGGTGCACCGCCTTCTCAGACCAGTACGCGAAGTATCTCAATGCAGTCAAGGACTGTTATGGATGCTTGCTTACTGCGTGTACCAACAACTTCCCGGACGAATCTGACAGTAGCGACGACGATGAAAACGATCTTACTTCTCTCAGCAGTGAACCCTTACCTCCTCCCAAAGCCACCAAGACGTTTCAAGAAGCAATGGTAGACAGTTTCGCTGAAGCCATCTTAATAAGTGCATCAATGGCTGTCTCGGATTTTATCCTGGAATCCTATCCTCTATATCGAAGCAAACAGACTTTCGGTAGGCTTCCTGGACTGCAGATTGTTCCTGATTGCATAGTCACCTGTTCAAATCACTCTCTGACCCACTCTTCGACTGATTCCAAGCACGGAATCGTAATCAATGAAGACAAACCTCCCCTTCTTCTATTCCCAGCTGCCATCGAGCTAATCAAATGGCTGAAGAGTGTTGGGACAATAACCCTAGATTATCCTAGAAACATTGTCAATCATCAAGACAACTGGTGGCTGGTCCTCAATAAGGTTGCTTTCTATGTTCCTCTTTCCAAAATGTGTTGATTCTAACTTCTGCTTGATACAGGGTATTACGATTTCGCGCTTTATCTTATCTTATCGGCTCTCTCGTAATCTCGTTATGCTAATTCTCCGGACTTGATCGCATTCTCCCATGAGGGTTTAGTATGTTTACCACACCATTGCAGACACTTGTAGTATATTTAGCACGACCCAAACTGTATTTAAGTAGCTCGACTGCAGGTCTTAAAACCTCAGTCTCGAACTAAAGTTTATTCACCCGATAACTTAGTCTGAACTCACTCTCGCTCAACTAAGCGATAGCTCCCTGCATGCAAACCTGCGGGCAACATAAAGTGCCTGACCGAAGTGCGAGTCACGCTTAGTTGTTTGATCTTGTTTGTGTAATCGGTCGCTAACAATTAGTTCGAGACTTTCTTACTCTTCATCAACAACCACGTTGATGAACAGTAACGAATGAACCCCATTGAACAATACCTCACCGACCTCTTTGGACTATAAGGCTTCATTGCCATAGCCTACCTCGCATTCCTGTATGGATACGAGCACCGACGAAACCAGGAGCCAGTCTCCAAAGAAACTATCCCCGTCGAAGCCCCCAACCCGGAGGCTAGACGATCGCACACACCCCCTCCCAACTACGTTGACGACAGACCCGACCCAATCATCCATTTCATCTTCATCACCGACGACGAGTGGATCACAGAAGACTCCGACTCAGACGAGTCCAACCCCGAGATGGAAGGATGGCCCGCACAAAGAGGCCCAGTTGTTGAAGAAGAAGAAGAGCAAGGAATCTACGAAAGGGGGGTGGACCAGCGTATTCTCTCTCCCATTACCGAAGAGGAAAGTGAAGGGGAAAGCACAAGAAGTAATCCCTGGGACGCCCCTTCCCCCACCTCAACAGAAAACTCAGCCGCCAACCCTGGATATGATTCCGATGGACAGCGCCTCTATCAAAGAGGGCTTAGATATCATCTGGGAGAAAGAGGAGCGACTGAAGATGGAACTGGAAGCAGTTCAAATGAAGAAAGCAGCGATACAGAAGAGGACAGTGACAGCGATGAGCTCCCAGGGCCGCGCAACAACTGGTCCCCTCCAAGGCTGGACTCCAGAGGAGAAACGTGGGGCCACTACTACGCCTGCGACGACTCCTCAGACGACGAAGGAGGATACCTCAACCTCATCACACGTCCAAACACCCCAATCATCATCAATGATAGGGCTGGGGAAGCAACTACCGAGCTCGACCAATGCGAGCCCACATACGATGCCGACGCCAGCTGCAATGTATGCCGACAAGTACAGGACTATGCCGACGCCTGGCTCATGTACGAAGGCATCGAAGCCCCTGCCTCCGTCATCCCCCTACGCAATCTATCCCCTCGCACCGGAACATCCCCACATGGCCCCCATCCCCTTCATCGCACCCTGGGTATGGGATAGACCCTGAAGACCAGACTTCGATCAAGTCATACTCAGGGTCAATGAGTGGGCCCGAATCATTAGAAACTGGAACCGTATCATCACAGGAAGCACGGAGCCTTTCGAGCGAGTCCAACCAATCGGACTTAGAAGAAGGCGAAATCTACGAGAACCCTGGAATAGGGCGGACTACGATTTGGGACAACAGCACAGAAGCAGAGAGTATGGTGACGAGGACATCATCCCGGAGTTCATGGAAGGATCTAGCTCAGGAGCCTACTGAGGCCGAGCTCGAAAATATGACTTATTTGGAAATGCTTCATTGGATAGAGAAAAAACTACCATGAGAACTCTCGTGGAACGGATCTCCCCAAGGCAGGCACTTCCAAAACAACCGAAGTAACCAGATTGGTGGGCAGGTACTGTACCGAGAAACCATCTTCCACACCAATATTCTATGGAATCAAGTACACCCGGATGACTACACAGACCCAGGAGAACGGTACAAAGTGCTGGCTCCATCAGAAACGTCAAGCGGGGAAACGGTGGACTTAAGCCACCTATCCATTCTCAAGAGGACAGGGTACGTCGACCCTAGTCGGCTATTCGCAGCGGCAGGAACACCAGGAAGTGCAGGCGCAGCAGCAGCCACAGCCACAGCAATCCCCGCAGTTCCAGCCCCTGCACTGCAAGGACCCCCATCCCCACATCACAACCCCGCATTACGATCGCTACCACGACCCGCAGCTATCCCCATTCCCGTGGACCCCGTACAACCCCTGAACATGCCACCACCATTCATAGTCAGGGTGGCCAACACAAACCCATGGGGACAGGTGAAGCCGCAATTGGCAGAACCTCCTGAGAAGTTCAAAGGGGAGTCCAGTGATGTAGATCGATTCCTCAACCAGTGCGAGGATTACTTTAATGTATTTCCCCAACAATTCACGATGAACGCACACGGACAGAGCCCCA